CCTCTCTCCAGCCTGGCCCAGACCCTGTTTCTCCCCAATACTCCTCTGCTTTCTACCTCCAAAGCTGCTCACACAATACCTTTCACCTGGAATACAGTCCCTATCATCTCTGCCATCTGCAATCTGAGAAATCCCCCCACACCCTAGTTCCATCAAGATTCAGGTCAGATGCCACCATTAAGAAGCCCTCCCGAAGCCCGCCTCCAGCCAGAAATCATGCCTGATCCTGTTTTGAGCTCCCCCACACAGCACGTCTGTCCTTTTTATGGTGCAGCTTTGGCAAAGTGTGACAGCTATTTGTGGTCATGACTCCCAGAATCCCAGCATAAGAAGAGAATTCAGTAATCTCCTAACTAACACAGAGTACAAGGCCTGAAGCAGAGTAAGTGCTCAAGAAAAACTCCCAGCCCGGCCGGGCGTGGCTCAGCGGTTGAGCATAGACCTAGGATCCAGGCGATCGGGGTTCGATTCCCGGTCAGGGCACATGCCGGGGTTGCAGGCTCGATCCCCACTCAAGGGCCTGCAGGAGGCAGCTGATCAATGACCCTCTCATCATTGATGTTTCTCTCTCTCTCTCTCTCCTTTCCTCTCTGAAACCAATAAAGATATATAGAAAAGAAAAGAAAAGAAAAGAAAAGAAAAGAAAAGAAAAGAAAAGAAAAGAAAAGAAAAGAAAAGAAAAAAGAAAAACTTCCAGAGGAAGGGAGTCAATGAATGAGCTCTGGTAGGCTTATTAGGTAAGAGGACAGATACATTTTGACCACAGCATCCAATCCATTCTCCATCCTTTGGCCAGAGAGAGCTTTGCAAAGTATAAATTTGACTCTTTTGCTCTCCAACTAAAACCCTTCCATGGCTTCTCATGACTCAACCAGCAAACAACGATAGAGTACTTTCTCTGTGTCAGGCACAGTGCTGGGAGCTGAAAATGTAATAGTGAACAAGACACATAAGATTTGTTCCGTCAGGGAGGTGACATTCTAGCGGAAGAAGCGGACTATAAATATATACTATCATTTCGGGTAGAGATAAGGACTAGGAAGGAAATTGCAGCACAATAATAAAAGGTGCTGTTTTAGATGTGGTGGTCAGGGGAGAGCTTTTTGAAGAAATGGCATATAAGCAGAGCCTTGATGGAAGTGAAAGAGTAAGCTGTGTGGTTATCCGAGGCAAGAACAGTGCAGATAGAGGGTAGAGCCGGTGCAAAGGCCCTGAGGTAGAACTGTGCCTGGTGTGACTGAAGAATAGCAAGGCTATGTAGCTGGAGCAGAGTGACAGGAAGGAAAGTGATAAGATCAGAGGTAATAAGGGGCCAAATCATGAAAGGCGTTGAGCCCACAATAAAGACTGGCTTTCTTTTGTTTGTTTGTTAATCCTCACCGGAGGATATTTTTTTCCATTGATTTTTTTAGACAGAGTGGAGGGAGAGGGAGAGAGAGACAGACAGGGAGACAGAGAGAAACATCGATGTGAGAGAGACACATCGATCGGTTGCCTCCTGCATGTTCCCCGACCGGGGCTAGGGATTGAACGTGGAACTCAGATACGTGCTCTTGATGGAGAATCGAACCCTTGACTCTTAGGTGCGTGAGCCGATGCTCAACCACTCAACCACACTGGCCAAGGTAATAAAGACTGGCTTTTACTCTGATTGAGATGAGTGGAGGGGGAACACAATCTAACAGGTGTTTGAGGAATTATCACCCGTGGGATAACCTCCAGCTTCTTCCCCATATCCATGCAATGCTCTCCTGACCTGATCTCTGCCTCTTATACCCACTGCTCCAATACCCCTACCTGGCAACCTCCTGCTCACCTTTGAACAGTTAGCTTAGTTGTGCCCTTCCA